TATAAGTTGGATTCATTAATAAATAAGTATCATTTTTTAAGTTATGTATAAAGTTCAAGTTTTAAAATTAACACCTAAAAAATTAATTTCTTTGAATGAATGTAGTAGATGCAGCAAATGCGCCTTTAAAATTGTCTGAGTCTGAATTAATCTTGAGATATGTAGAAATCACTTCAAAAATAATCTAAAGGTAAATTAAAAAATAAAAAAATAGAGCTCGTCCTACCAATGAGGAAAGCCCCGATGGGCCAAGTTGTTGGTAGAAAGTCCAACCTCATATGAACACATTGACTTTCCATATGATAAAATTTCTTCACCAACCTAACTAGTTGTGGGCTAGCATTTGCTTTGTTGAAATCACGCAAAATTGCATGTTGACCCATTTAATGAGCAAAGAAAATCATGGACCCATGGTAATAAGGCAAAGAAAAACTTGCTTGGGTAGTTAGGATTTTTCACTATAAATACCCATGCATGCAAAGGCAATGGGCAAGCAAGAAAAGAGCTAAATGAGTGGGTGCTCTTGTGAGAGAAAAGAAAGAGAGAAAAGAAAGAGAGAAATTGTGAGAAAATCCTTGTGAAGATTAAGAGAGAGTATTAAGGAAAATTTGGGAGTGATGTTATTACCACACCCTCAATTATTAATGCCACATCTTTTTATCTTAATTGACTATTATACTTTTTAATTTATTAAGAAATAAAAAAATGTAAATTTTGAGAAAGTGTGTAATGTAAGGATATAATAGATAATTACATTAAAAATGTGTGACATTAACTATTTAAAGTGTGATAATAACCCCACTTGAATTTGGGAGCTTTTATATATTGAAAGTAGGGTACTGAGAGTTTCTTTAGTAAGAGAGTTTTTAAATTATTATACTATTTTTTTTAATAGTTGATTTGTTTCTCTTTCTTTTGTAGATGTAAACTTGTTGAAACGTATGCAAATCGAACCACATTAAATTATTGTTTCAATTTCTATATTGTTTCTATTTACGTGGGACTATGATATTCAAAATTCTCAACACAAGTGAAGATACCTTGAAACATTGGGGTTTTCATGTGTCTTGCCATTTAGTAATTACTTTTAAATGAATTTTTCTTTTTAAAATGTTTTCTGAACCTGAGTTGATGAAATAAAATGTGAGTTTTGGACCTCAAATTACTAAAATTTCCAACCTGATTGCCCAGACAATTCTCTTTCCCCTTAATCAAAGCTCCCTGGTTACTTTTTGAGGCATATGTAATTGGGTGTGGTGTCTGATATTTCCTCGCATCAAACATTTTTTTTTTTTTCCATATTCTTGCCTTTAAACAAACTTGAGAGAAGTGTGTATGTATCTACCAATGTTTGAATAACAACGCAAGATTACACCTAATATTTGTATCACCTAGAAGTAGAAATATGTAACTGTATTGAAGAATCATAAGTAATATACTCCATACAGAGTTCCAAGTAGCAGAAATCTCTATCATGAATTCTCTAATAGTAGCAAATTAGCAAATGCTGGAGGCTAGAGTGGGGTAGGACGAGAGTCGGATGCAAATTACAAATATCCCACATCGGCTTGATAATAAAGAAATAAGTTCTTTAAATGTTGAAATCAAAGCGCTGAAACCCGCCGGGCCTGGTAACACAGGCTTGCAACTTAAGTGAAGGCAATAAGGTGATGTAGGGGGCGTAGGGCCGAAGGGTTTCTGGCTTCATTCTGGACAAGAGCAACTGTCACGTGAGGTGAGATGTGAGATTGCCGGCTTCTCAGAGCACAGCAATGTTTGCCAGTTCCTTCAATGTGTGTCCGTTTTTTACCAAAAAAAAAAAAATGTGTGTCCGTTTCTCAGAGCTCCTCACCTCTACCATTACCCTTATTGTTTCTATTATATCTATATATAGATAGAAAATTTGAGAAAAGACTTCCAGGTGAAACCGATCTTTATCATCAAATTCAATAATACTCTCTTAGGTCTAAAACATTGGTTGATGTAATGATTTGAAATGATTGGTTAATGATTTCAGCTAATCTAATAAATAAAAATATTTATATTAATAATAATAATAATTATTATGACCTGTTAAATTAAACAAAACTGTTAATCATTAGTTTTTAACAAATAACCCCTTTATTTTCATTTTGGGGGAGAAAACACTTACGACCAACTTAGTATTTGAGGTAATTTTATTAGGGGAGAATGGTATACCTTGGAATACACGTTAATTTTTGGATTTTTTTATGTATTTTGCTAATTAGGATCAATTTATTATAGTTGTAATTTTTAATTTGTATTTTGGTTGTCAAAATTTAAATAATTAAAATTCACAATTGAAAACTAAAAATAAAAATACCAATTTATTAAGTATAAAACTTTAAAACTAAAAGTTTAGGCTTCATTTAGTAAGGTTTTGATTTTTAGTTTTGGGGTTTTATTTTTTATATATTTAGTAAATAATGCTTACTTTTAGGAACTAAAATTTATAATAAAATTAGAATTTATTAAATTTAATCTAAGTATAATATTAATTTATATATTTATATATATGAAAAGTCAAAAACCAAAAACTAAAAATTAAAATCATATTAAATGAAACTTTAGGTTTTATTTAGTATGGTTATGATTTCAATTTTTAGTTCTAGTTTTAATAAATTTGAAAACTTTTGAAAACCAAACTAAAAATAAAAAACTTTTAATTTGCATAAAATAAGTTTTAATACTGATAATAAAAAGGAAAAAGTGCTTATCAGCCTTACCTCCTAAATATTAGGAGGAAAATCATCCTAAAACTATATCGTTTCAATAAATTGTTATTAAAAAAAATTAAATTACCCTCTTTTTAAAGCATGCATTGAGGTAATTTTTGTCCTTTTTCCTCCTAATTTTTTGGAGGTAAGGCAGATAAGCACTAACCCTAATAAATAAAAAAATATAAACTTATTTGATAGTATTAAAACTATGTTTATTCTTATTTTTCTTATAACTATGATAATATGATACAAAACAAATAAAAGTAAACTAGTTTTATTTATTTATTTACTTAGATTTGTAGAATTTATGAAAACCAAAATTAGAAACTTAAAATTGTAACCATATTAAATTGAGTTTTAATTAATTTATAAAACTTGTTAATTTTATTTCAAAATTTATTAATTTTTGAAAATTAAAATAAAAAACCACAATTATACGGAGCTGTTATCTGTCAATAAAAATTTCCTTCCAAAAGTGTTTTTTGCAATCTAAATTAACAAAATAAGATGCCAATCTAGGGCTAAAATTTCTAAAATGTCCACAGCACCCTAATTAGTCAAATCTTTTTCCTCCTATCATAAAAAAGTCAGTTCTTTTTCCTCTTTGCCAAAACTCCCTAGTGACTTGGGCATGTAGATAAAAAAGTGGGTAGGATATTCTTCGCCTCATCAATGTTCTTTCCAACGAACAACTTGAGCGGATTATATATCTAACAATGAGCAACAAAACAGTTTAGCAAGCAGCATCTTGCTCCAGCTATAGCAACATCGGACGAGGAGGATACCGTGTTCAATAATGT